GGTCTTTGAAAGGTTTTAGTGAGAATGTATTCTTTTTTGCAAGATAATCGATGTTATCATGGCTTTTGAAATTTTTATTTTTATAAAATTGAAATTTCTGCGCAATGATACTAAGGATTCTGTACCATGAAATGGATCATGTTTTCATAAAGCAAAGAAAGACTTAGGCTAATTCTCATTTATGAGTTAAATTATGACACAGTCAAGCAAATGTTATCCAGCTAGCCTGCAAAATTCTGTGCCCAAGTTGAACTTATACATTTATACACACATACACAGACACCTACACACACGTACTATACACCAATTAAGCCTTAGAAAATATAAGCTCTGCTTTTTAGAAATAACACTGAGTCAGCAATCAGAAGCCTGTTTTAGAATTAATGATATCCATATGTTTTATAAATAAGTNGGTCTTTGAAAGGTTTTAGTGAGAATGTATTCTTTTTTGCAAGATAATCGATGTTATCATGTCTTTTGAAATTTTTATTTTTATAAAATTGAAATTTCTGCGCAATGATACTAAGGATTCTGTACCATGAAATGGATCATGTTTTCATAAAGCAAAGAAAGACTTAGGCTAATTCTCATTTATGAGTTAAATTATGACACAGTCAAGCAAATGTTATCCAGCTAGCCTGCAAAATTCTGTGCCCAAGTTGAACTTATACATTTATACACACATACACAGACACCTACACACACGTACTATACACCTACACACACGTACTATACACCAATTAAGCCTTAGAAAATATAAGCTCTGCTTTTTAGAAATAACACAATGAGTCAGCAATCAGAAGCCTGTTTTAGAATTAATGATATCCATATGTTTTATAAATAAGTATGTACCCTTAGGTAGAGAAGTTAATAATTCTTAATCCCAGTTAATAGGACATTGTGAACACTGAGTGAGAAAATATGTGTGAAGGCACCTTGTGAAGTATATACAGTTAAAAGAAAACAGTTACATTCTATCTTTGTCTTAAATCCTATGACATTTTGTTCTTATTAGCTATGATAACCAAAGACAATTCATGGAACCGGATTATCCCAAAAGCACATCAAGTATCTTTCCAGGAATAAGTACAGTTGATGCAGTTTTCCAACAGGATGGTAAGTAGAAAAAAACTGCAAATAAATTTGCTTAAAATTTTTAAATAGTATGTTTGCATTTAAATATTATATTGGGACAGGCACAGTTTTTTAATTGAAGGTGTCTGAGATCTTCGATAGCTAATTTGATAAATTAGATCTTTTTTTTTTTATAGACTTCTTCTATTTCTTCAGTGGACCAAGATATTATACATTTGATCTTCGTGCTCATAGAGTTACTGGGATTGATAGAAGTAATAAATGGCTTAAATGTAGATAAATTTGAAACAAAATTAAATCTGGTCATATCTATTTCCTGAATTTAGAAGGGAAGTCCCACTTGCATATCCATTAAATTGTGTCTTGTTTATACTTTTCTAAATACTAAGTAATGTTGTTTGTTGGGCCTGTCCTCAGTGAAAATATGTTTGGAATATTCCACTATTTGCAGAGGCTGATTCTGTTCTTACATACTTCATCTCAGGTTAATGAATCCATCACAGAAAGAAGGAAAGTAAGCCCTTTTTGTCACCTCAACATTCACTATTTTATCACTCGCTTACCTGACTTCTAAAATTCACTCTTTCGTTACTTGTTTATCTGACTTCATATATTCCTATATCTCTTTAAACACGTCTTGTACTTATCTGCTATTTGCAATTTAGCATTGGATTTTGGTTAGAAGTAAGGATTGTAAACAACATAGACGGTAGCCCTTGCTTTACAGAAAATGTAGGGCTATTTTTCATTCTTGGAAAGAAATGTGAATAATATATGTTGTGTATCCCCCCCAAAAGAGATATGTTGAAGTCCTAACACCAGGTACCTATGGATGTGAGTAGGGCTATTTTTCATTCTTGGAAAGAAATGTGAATAATATATGTTGTGTATCCCCCCCAAAAAAGATATGTTGAAGTCCTAACACCAGGTACCTATGGATGTGAGTTTATTTGGAACCAGGCTCTTTGCAGATGTAATTAATTAAGTTAAGAGGAGGTCATACTGGATTGGAGTGAGCCCTAAATCCATTATGACTGGTGTCCTTATTAAAGAGGAAAGACACAGGGGAGAAGTCCACATGAAGATACAGGCAGAGACTGGAATGATACATTTACAAGCCATGGAATGCCAAGGATTGCTGACATCCACCAGAAGCTGGGAAGAGGCGGGAAGGATCCTCCCCTGTCACCTTTCGAAAAGAGGACATGGCCCTGCTGACATCTGCTGATTTAGGACTTGTAGCCTCCGAACTGTTAGAAAGTAAATTTCTGCTGTTTTTAGCAGTTTGTAGCATTTTGTTACAGCAGCCCTAGAAAGCTAACGGTACACCTGCATTTAAGAATATGAATCAACACAGGATGCCAAAATGGAACCCCCACTGAGGATTACTAGGTATCTTCCCAGGGGAGCAACATAAAGAAGAGGTGTCACTTCCTCTCCTGCCTCCCCCCTGCTCTCTCCTTCTAGAGTCCAGACAGATGGGCTAGCTGGATCTGTTGTTCCTGAGTCCTTTATTTCCTGGAGTGTTCAGGAGGGAACATTCTACAGATAACTGGGATTTACTGCACAAACAGAACAGTGCTAGGCACAAAATTCAATAAATCTCATCAAATCAAATTAAACTGAGCTTAGATACATAAATTTGCTAATGGCTCTTTTCTGCTAAGAACCTTAGGATTTGTGGAACCATAATGTCTAGTCTAGACATCAAAATCATTACAATATATTTGCAGTTGTTAGAATGTAATGCAGCGTATTATACGATAAATATTCAGATTGTAAAATATATTTCTCACTAACACATCCTATTTTCTTTCTGTGTTAAAGTTTTTAAATTCCACAGATAATTAATTTGGCACCTTATTATTCTGGCTCAAAAATTATCTATTAAATCTGTTCAAAATAAATATTTTTATTTTAAGTGGCTGATTTGTGATCTACTTATAATTTCTAAAAATACCACCACCACATAGTTTATCCAAAGTATAAAAAAGAAGAGGAAATTTTAGATATATTTGTAGCCATTTATAAATCCCTCATCATAATTATTATAATAGTGATAATAAACTTTTAGATACTCCTTTACAGTTTATGAAATATTTCATATTCGATGTCCTCAAAAATTTTCTCAAATTTGTCAGCACATTATTCTCAACTTATTTTACAAGATGAGAAAACAGAAACTAGTATATTCTCATACTATCATTCTGTTCATTCATTCATTTATTTAGCGATAATTAATTAATCACCTACATGTTCCAGGTGCTGTGCTAGTGGAAGTAAGAAAAATATCTAAACAATTCAATACATCAATGTATCCCGTGCAAAAGGAGCTATAAAAACTGGATATTCCATTTTTAACAATAGAGTCAACTTCAGACTACTGCATTCTCTGAAACTTCCTATAATGTCAGTTTTTATGGGCAAGAAAATGGGAGATTCATCTTCTCAGAACACCTGCTGGTTGTGCTAGCTAGTTGTAATAGAGTCTTAGCCCAAACTTCATCTATACTTTTTTGAGATGAGGACTGAATTCATAGTATTTCTTTAACCATATTTCACAAAGCCATAGGATGTGAACAGCAATACGAAGTGTAATAAAGAATTCAATAAATAATTCCTTTAAGTTTTTTTCTGGACAATGTGGTATTTTCTGGCTGTTTGATGTTTCATGTGAGTACAAGAGATGTAAGAGTCTAAGCTTAAAATTTAAATAATGAGATTCCTTTATGCCTTAGGTTCAGTTTCTTCAAAAGCAGAGCCCAAGTCAAGACCTTGTTGCAATTATTTTATTCGGGACCTGACCCCAGGAAGCAAGAGTGAGGCAGCAAACAGACTGGGACAGGGAAGGAGGAAAAGCCAACACAAGAGTGTTATCACAGTTTCTCCTGTGGGCAGCTAGGGCTCAATTCCACCAGGACCTGCTGAGAAGCCACCAAACACCTTTCAATTGTTCACATCCCCAGTGGACAGGAGGCTGGAACATTCATCCTCAGTTCCCATCCCCCACTGGGTGAGGATTATCCCTGAGGGTGTTAACTCCATTACACTTCTGGGATATCCTCTCATGCTGACCTGCCAGGCTCTATGGCATCTCAATGCCCCGGGCAGAAAGCAGAAAGATACACAACATATGCTTAAGATTAGACTTTGCCAGAGCAAAGTGAGTTACACAAACCCATCTACTGCTGTTGCAACTAAGTCAGAGGTGTACTAAGGGAATGTGACATAGGGCACCAAAGCCATCTCCTACAGCTTTATTGCTGGGAGATTTAAGTGATGGGAAATTGGAGGCGTCTTCTCTGGAGAAACTTACCACCCAAGAAAAAAGATTTACAGATGCTACTAACACTGGAGAAAACTCAGTGTGGTAGAGGCTGCTATTTACCTACCCTAGCATCCATTTTCCACTTCCTCTTCTGCAATGAGACCCCAATTTCCCTGGAGGGAGCAATGCATCCAGCTAAAAGACCACATTTTTTAGCCTTGCTTACAGCTACATGTTGTCATGAGTTTAAATTGTAGCCGTATTCTAGAATATTGTGTGAAGTTCCTAGAAAGAGACTTAGAATTTACTTTTTTCTGCCTTCCTCTTTCCTGCTGCCTGTAAAGCAGATAGAATGGCTACAGCTTGAGAAGCCAGCTGGACCATAAAGCATTGCACTGAGTGGCATAGCAAGGTATGTTGCCTACATCCCTACTGATGTGGAGTTCTCATACAAGCCTTGGTCTACCAAAGCTGGGCTTCTTTTATGTGAGGAAAAAATAAATTTTATTTTATTAAGCATCTGTTATTTTTGGTCTTTCTGTCATTTCAACCAAATCCCATCTTGACTAATACATCACATGAAATGTCTGGGTCCCGTCCCACCTCCCTGCGGTGAAAGTCATCAATTCACCAGCCCTGCCCATGCACAGACCTTCCAGTCAGCTTTCTCATCTCTCATTCATAAACAGATTGCACAGAACCAAGTCACCAAACATTTGAAAAAAGATTCCATGTGAAATACAGACACCAAAAAAAAAAAACAAAAAAACCCAGAAAACAAAAACAAAACAAAACAAAAATCTTTGAGGAAATAGAGACAATCCTAGGAGCAAAAGACAATGTCAAACAAACTAAACAACACTTTGCATTAACATTCCCAAAAAATAAGAGATATTTTAAATTTTAAAAAACTAAATAATTCAAAAATGTTAAAAAAAAATGTAAGAGGATACTCAGAGAATTGGAAAGAGCTCTTGGAAATTAAAAATATAAAAGCTGGGAGAAAAAAAACAGTACATGAGTGGGAAAGCAAAGTTGGTGGAAAATAGTAAAGGTCATATTAGATACATACCAACTTGATCTAAGAGGTCCAACAGATACACATCCCAGAAAGAGACACAGAAAAATCTATGGGAAGAAATTATAAATAAAACAATATAGGAAAGTTACCTCAAATTAGAGTTTCTATAATGAAAGGACCCAATCAGAAACGTTAATACAAAGAGACCCACATCAGGAGACATAATTATGAAATTTCAGAATATCTGGATAAAGAGGAGATTTCCAAAATGTTTCAAAAGATACAAAGAAAAATATCAAGAATCAGAATAGAGGACTTCTCAACAGCAACACTAGATTCTGGAAAATAATGAAACAGTATCTTTAAAGTTCTAAGGGAAATTAATTTTATGTTAAAATTCTGTACAGTCATTACAGTCACCCCTTCATATCCACTGGGGATTGGTTCCAGAACCTCCTGCAGAGACCAAAATCCACAGATACTCAAGTCCTTGATGTAAAATGTGTAGTATTTGCTTATAATCCATACACAGCTGCCCATATACTTTAAATTGTATCTAGATTGCTTATAATACCTAATGTAAATGCTATATAAATAGTCGTTACGCTGTATTTTTTATTTTTATTGTTTTTTATTTTGTATCACTATTTTTATTGGGATTTTCCCCCCACTATTTTCCATTTTCAGTTGATAGAATCCCTGAATGCAGGACCGGGGATACTGGAAGACGAACTGTTCCCAGCCACACTCTCAATCAAGTGTTAGGGTGGAATATAGGGCATTCTTAAGCATTAAGAGTCAAAACATTCATTCTCCACGCATTCTTTCTTAGAAAACTCCTGAGATATATGCTCCATCAAAATAAGAAAGCAAGTCAAAAAAGTGGTAGAAATTAACTCCAGGAACCAGGGATCAAACACGGAGGCACAACAGGGATTCTCTGGTTGATGACAGGATGGCAGCTTTGCACCAGACTCTGACTGGAGGAGACAAAGTGTCTCAAAGCATGACTTGAGAGGGAAAAAATGGTATTGCTAGATTTCCTGTCATGTTAGATGATTTGGGGAAGGGTTTATGAGTTCTACTGGAGAATTTGGGAAAGAATTAGTGAATAAAAATCAATTCATCTCTGAACTTCAGAGAAAAAAAATGTACAAAAAAGGAGATGTGATCATGGTATACTATATGGCTCTCTTGTGAATGATATTTCACAGTCATAATTGCATAAACGTTGATTACTGATTTAACTAAAAACTTAGCTATAATCAAATTAGGAAAATGATGAAGGAAGTGAGGTGGTGAATGTTAAAGCTTTCTCACCCATGGGAAAATGGTAATAATAACATTTAACATTGAAAACTCAAGAAATAGTAGCACAAGCATGCTATTTAGAAATGTTCAAGGAGGGCTGGCCCAGTGGTGCACTCGGGAGAGTGCGGCGCTCCTGCCACAGGTTCGGATCCTATATAGGGATGGCCAGTGCACTCACTGGCTGAGCGCAGTGCGGGTGACACCAAGCCAAGGGTTGCAATCCCCTTACCGGTCACAAAAAAAGACAAAAGAAAGAAAGAAAGAAATGTACAAGGAGAAAAACCTTATAAAAATAATTTAAAGAATTTACCTCTGGGGAGCAAGACTTGAAGGAGTAAAAGGTTAGGACAGAGAGATGTTATTTTTTCATTATAAACAAGATAGCACCATTTAATTTCTTTTTTTTTTTTTTGTAACTGTTATTTTTTAAATTTATTCTGAAATAGTTCAAAGTTTAAAAAAAAAGTATAATAAGCTTGCATGCACTCAAACCAGTTTACCAACACCATTATAACATAAATCTTGATTATGTCTGCGTACTTCTTTTCATACTTCTCTCCCCAGAGGCCAATTAGATTTTTAAAACGTGTGTTAAACCAGGAAATAATAATGATGATATTTCTGAAACAGGATTTATAATCAGGATGAGAACTAAATTCAATGGAATGATATACTTGTTTAGAGTTTATAGGTTCTTGAACTACATCACAGAAATTTTATTCAGGATATAGATAAGGAAGAAGATTTGGAAAGATCTATGGTTTGAGAAGTTAACATTTGGGAAGAAAAAAGGAAATTTGAACAGTTGGTAGAAAAAAAAAGGCATGGACATTGCTGTAACTAAGAGTGTTGTTTCATTTGAAAGTGGCCCAAGTAAAGAAGAAAAGAATATATTGAAATTAATCCAAAGGACTCTCACTAACTGTACCTTCACTTCTAATGTTAATTTTGGCCTTCAAAGTGCTTCATAATCTGTGCCCTCTATGAGTTCTTCATCTTCCTAGATCTTCTCCCTGAGATCCACCATCCTATCTCCCATGGCTGTCTACACATACATTTGCTCCAGTCAGGCCAGATTCCCTACTGTTCGTTTCTACTGTATTTGCTCCCTGTGGCCTCCCTCCACTCCTATGCCTTCTCCCTTCCTCTGTGAGATACAAATCCTATCCATTCTTCAAAACCCAGTGCAAACCCCACTGCAAGACCTTGTGCAAGCTGGGTTACCTGAATGAAGCCTCCAGGCCATATTCATCAGCAGTGATCTGTCTGCCTTTTGGCCCTTGTCGGTCTTTATGATCTGCACTATGCATTGTCCACCTGCCTCCATTTTGTCTTACATGAGTCTCTGCATACATCTGAATTCTCCAACAAGATTGCATTCACAGTGACACAAACAGTAGGTACAAACACTGGATGTTTACCTCAGTTAATTAGGGTAATCTGATTCCTGATTCAATTGTCTTTTCATGATATCAGACTACCAAGATATTTTGAGTTTTCCTTCAAAAGAAAATTCTTTCATAAACTCTCAAGAATTTTCTTCTGCTAATTGATTAACAACAATCTAGCAGAAAAAAGAAATCAAGAAAACTAGCCCATTTACAATAGTCACCAAAAAAATTAAATACTTAGGAATAAAGTTAACCAAAGATGTGAAAGATTGCTACAACAAGAACTACAAATAACTGTTGAGAGAAATTAGAGGACACAAAAAGATGGAAAGACATCCATGCTCTTGGATTGCAAGAATTAACATTGTGAAAATGTCCAGACTATCCAAAGCAATCTACAGACTCAACACCATCCCCATCAAAATACCAATAACATTCTTCAGAGAAATAGAAAAAACAATCCTAACACTCATATAGAAGAACAAAAGACCCCAAATAGCCAAAGCAATCCTGACCAAAAAATAAAAAAGCCAGAGGCATAACACTATGTGACTTTAAATTACATTACAAAGCTATAGTAACCAAAACAGCATGGTACAGGCATGAAAACAGACACTTGGACAAAAGGAGCAGAATAGAGAATCTAGAAACCAACTCACATACTAACAGTCAACTAATCTTCAATAAAGATATCAAGAACATACATTGGAGAAAAGACTGCCTCTCAACAAATTATGATGGGAAAACTGGACATCCATATGTAGAAGAACAAAACTAGAGCTGTACTTCTTGCCATATACCAAAATCAACTCAAAATGGATTAAAGACTATAAAACTCTCAAAAGAAAACATAGAGGAAACACTTCTGGAAGTAGGACTGAGCAAAGACTATGAATAAGACCCCAGAAGCACAGGCAACAAAAGAATACTAAACAGATGGGATCATATCAAACTAAAAAGCTTCCGCACAACAAAAGAAACAATTAACAGAGCAAAAAGACAACCTACAGAGTGGGAGAAAAGATTTGCAAACTATGCATCTGACAAGGATTAATATCCAGAATATACAAGAAACTCCAACAATTTAACAGTTAAAAAAACAAGTAAGCCAATTAAAAATTGGGCAAAGGAGCTGATAGGCACTTCTCAAAGGAAGATACACAAATGGCCAATGGGCACAATAAAAAATGTTAACATCACTCAGCATCAGGGAAATGAAAATCAAAACCACACTGAGATATCATCTCACTCAAATTAGACTGGCTATAATCAAAAAGATGGAGAATAACAAATGCTGGTGAGGATAGAGAGAAAGAGGAACCCTCCTACACTGTTGGTGGGACTGTAAATTGGTGCAGCCACTATGGAAAACAGTATGCAGTTCTCTGAAACAACTACAGGTAGAACTTCCGTATGATCCAGCAATCCCACTTCTAGACATATAACCAAAGGAATGAAAATCATCATTTCGAAGAGATATCTGCACTCCCTGTTTATTGTAGCTCTGTTTACAATAGCCAAAATATGGAACCAACCTCAATGTCCATCATCAGACAACTGGATAAGGAAAATGTGGTGTATATATATACACACACACACACACACACACACACACACACACAATGAAATACTACTCTGTCATAAAAAAGATTAAGGAAAATGTGGTGTATATATATATATACACACACACACACACACACACACACACACACAATGAAATACTACTCTGTCATAAAAAAGATTGAAATACTGCCATTCACAGCAACATGGATGAACTGAGAGAAAATTATGTTAAGTGAAATAAGCCAAGCACAGAAAGAGAAATACCATGTGTCTTCACTTATATGTGGGAGCTAAAAAAATAAATAAATAAACAAATAAATAAAAAAAGAAAGAAAGATACAACAATCACATTAATACATTGAACTTTCAAAAGAAGAGAACAGAACTGAGATTACCAGAGATGGGAAAGGGAGAGGTAGAGGGGGGTAAGGGAGAAACTGGTAAAGGGACATGAAAATCAATTATATTGTATAGTGTTGAATATAGTAATTATCCTGATTTGAACATCACGTACTGCACACAGGTATTGATATTCAATGCTGTATCCCACAGATATGTACAATCAACTATGTTCCAATAAAAAAATTAATTTAAAAAAAACTTTCTCAAGAATTTGTGGATAGAAAAGCCTCCCACTTCGCAAGGAGAAAAGTAATTGGAGGCTAACTTCATAGTGCATTCATTTCATAGTGAACAATGAGTGTGTAACTAAACAATTGCAAACCATGATTGTGAAATCAAGTCAATCTAAGAGGAAAAAAAGTGAATCATGACACGCTTCATGGCAAGTGTCCTTTTCTGTTATTAATTAAATGATGATACAAACCAATTCATGCCACGTCTCTCTATTAGTTTCCAAATTCTGTGCTAACAGAACCAGGCTACAACTGAAGAGAGAGAGGGATGAAGAGTCTTCTGCTTCTGTTTTTGCTTTTTATAACTTTTTCTTCTGCATTTCCTGTCGACCAAAATGAAGAAAACATGCAACTGGCCCAGGTACTGTCTCAATAAATGTAATTAATAACTATCATTAAAAAGTTCATTTTACTGATTCTCTCAGGACCCAAAAAGACCCAAAAAGTAAATTCCTGCTTTAAAAAAAAAAACTTTTCGTTTGCCTAGCTCTAAGGACATGAAGGAACTGTGTGAGAGGTGGAGGGCGGGGGCAGGGTGGGGGAAAATACAGGATTTGCTACAACTTTGGGTAATGGTCACAAGTGAAGGAATGGTTAGTGAGAGGAGAAAGTGGACAGCCCTGAAAGGAAAGGAGATCACTATAAAGTATCAAAACAACCAGAAGGACCCAATCTGCAATTTGGAGCCCATTATTCCTATGTGTATGGAAAATACACTGCTTTGGAGATTTCCTCTATAAATCAGTCCAGTTAATCTGTCATATTTGGTTAAATCAAATAAATTTGCTAAATGGATGATCACCTATCTCCCGTAGAATTTGTTTCAAGGAAACACCAAAATGAAAGTAACAGCAAAAATATGTAAGATATGTCATTTAACAGGTGGAGGAAGCTTCATTCTCTTCTGCGGAGGTTTGGAGTTTTGTGGGCTGTGTGTTTAACTAATTCCTGGTCATTCATAGATGACCCAACTCTTGGAAATTGAAAGATCAGAGTGACTCATTTCTTTTCTCTTTGTGTCCTTCCTTTTTCTTTCCTCCCTCTCTCCTTTCTTTCCCTCATTACTTATTTCCTTTTTTCCTCCCTACAGTCAAAAAGAATTTCAGGCAATTTTGTTTTATCCTGAGATGGAGATTTGCTGGCCTGCAGTCTGTGCCTTTTTTTTGTCTTTTTGATCAGGCATATCTCAACCAGTTCTACTCTCTTGAAATAGAAGGGAGACATCTTGTTCAAAGTAAGAACAGGAGTCTCACAGACGGCAAAATTCGGGAAATGCAAGCATTTTTTGGATTGACAGTGACTGGAAAACTGGACTCGAACACTCTTGAGATCATGAAGACCCCTCGGTGTGGGGTGCCTGACGTGGGTCAATACGGCTACACTCTCCCTGGGTGGAGAAAGTATAACCTCACCTACAGGTAATGCTTCTGTCAATGTATTTCCACCTAGTCCAAAGGAATATGAATATAATCTCCAGGGAACAACAATAATAATCATTTATTTTACTGAGAACTTCCTACGTGCATAGCCCGTCACAGATTTCATTTATTCCATCTTCCCAACAAACCTGTGACATAGGCACTACTGTTACTGTCCCCTTAAACAAAGAGAAACTAAAACAAGAGGTTATTTTTTATATAGCCAAGGCTACATACACAACTCTTACCAAGAGAATGTCTCCAGATAATATGCTTTTATCTCCAGCCTCTGCCACTCCCCTATGGACAGGAAGCCATCTGACTTCAGATGCTTGAAGGCACAGATGAAGTGTGCTCAAGAGAAAATGGAAAGACCCTGGCACACAACCAGTTCGTGTTAGAGATGTGTGTGCTCAGGTTGTTAAATCTCAGATGGGCCTCAGAGTGAAGCATGGGTTTGCCCTCAGTCATCTCAAGAAAAAGGGGCTGGTGCTCAAGAGAAAATGGAAAGACCCTGGCACACAACCAGTTCGTGTTAGAGATGTGTGTGCTCGGGTTGTTAAATCTCAGATGGGCCTCAGAGTGAAGCATGGGTTTGCCCTCAGTCATCTCAAGAAAAAGGGGCTGGCTCATTGGCAGAAAGAGGAGGAAGTGTACCCCTGATCTGAAATAGAAGCAGCAACCTTGACCACCAGTCCTGAGCCTTTCTGCTGGTTCTTTGTTCATCTTATTGAGTCGTAGGACTTGAGATAAAAATGGGTTTAGCAAGGTAAGGAATATGAACAAGAGAAAAATGTTTTCTAAACTCTTTGTGGCTCTTGAGTAAGACTTAATATATAATACATGCACAAAACTGATTTTCACAAGCCATTTAAGAAAATAAATCTCAATTTTAAAAAATATATATTTATATGACATTCATATACAAGCAAACACATGCATGAGATTAATACTGTCCAATTAGGGTGTGATCTTCGGGAAGTCATTTAACCTCTTTCAGCCTCCTTTGTTAAAGTGTTATAGTACTACCTGATTCACAGAGAACGTAAAAGAATCGAATTATGTAGCATATGTAAAAGTATTTCATTTAAATAAAGTGCTATGCAAATGTAAAGTAATAATACCATACCAAAAGTTACTACAGCACACGATTGATGAGCTAGATGTGATCTTTATAGTATGAGTGTACACACATGCATGTACTATCAGCAATTGATATACTTTTGTTAATTGTTAAGAATAATGAACTACACTCCGGATATGGCACAAGCCGATGTAGATGAGGCTATCCAAAAAGGTTTAGACGTATGGAGCAAGGTTACTCCACTAATATTCACCAAGATTTCCAAGGGGATTGCAGACATCATGATTGCCTTCAGGACTCGAGGTAAGGTTTTCAACAGAGAGAAGAGTGTGGCTAGTTTCATCTCAGGAGGTTTGAGGAGGCTGATCTTTTTCTTCCATAAATTGTATCTCAGTCCATGGTCGGTGTCCTCGTTACTTCGATGGCCCCTTGGGAGTCCTTGGCCATGCCTTTCCTCCTGGTCTCGGTCTGGGTGGTGACACTCACTTTGATGAGGATGAAAACTGGACCAAGGATACAGCAGCAGGTGAGTCAAATTTTCTTTATGAACAAAATTTTATTATCCTAAAGAAACCCTGAAAAAGAATAGCTTTTCAGCTAGTTGCTTTTTTTACCTCCACACTTCCCAATTTCCTTACAATTTTCCATATTCCAGGATGACATTGATAGAAGCGTTCAATATCTCCTCAGACCATTGTGCTTGTGAGGTTCAGAGCCTTATTCACACAACACCCTCATAAAGTTGCCAATCCTATTGTGATCAGAGCATTCTTTTTTTATTTATACATTCATTCATATATCCACAATACCTGAGGATTCAGTGTGTGCCCGGAACTATGCAATGTGTTGTATGGACCACAAAGTTATACTAGAAAACTTCCAGCTTTCAGAGGGTCACGATCCTGTGTAATAAAGGCCTAGACCCACATACCCACCATACAATACAGAATATGTTACATGTTGTACTGATGGTAGAAGTCATCAATGGCTTGAGGATCGAAAGAAGATTCTAAGGAGGAGGTAATTTTGAGTTAGCAATTACAGAATAGTGTGTGAGTTCATGACCCATCAAGGGTCTATTTAAATGCATGAAATTCCTCTTCTAACTCTTGCCCATCTGCGAAAGAACGAAGCCCTAATTCTTATATTTGACCTACTCCTTCAAACCAAGGACGTGGATTTTATTTATCTTAATGGGCCTGCCTGGCACTAAAGTATTACTTTTCAAACAAAAAATAAATAAATAAAACTTTACTACAGTAACAGTGTGTGCATCAATGCAGCAGGCTCAGGTGACTCTCAGGTTCTCCCCATTCTTTTTTTTGCCATCTCAGGTCTGGTGTCTAGCTCCCTGGCACCCAGGAAATCACAAGTTGTAGCTCTCCT